TTAATTTTTTTGTAATTCCCTTCAAATGGTAATTCTCATAATATTATTTGATATTTTAAATTATTGTGGAAGAAATATAAATTTTTCATAAATTATTTCGCTTCCTATATTTAATTTATGATTTATTTGTTTTGAAATTTTGGGATTGTTACAAATATCTTTATATCACATTTAAAATTAGAATGATATAATGCATGGCAATTAGCTTGTTTAATGAAGTATTACTAGCATAAATAGGATTCGCATTATAATTATTAGTTAAAACTTAACTCTTATCCTGGGGATGTAGCTCAAATGGTAGAGCGCTCGCTTTGCATGCGGGGGTTCGATCCCCCGCATCTCCAATGTAGGATCTACATTCAGTTTTTTATTTTATTTTATTTGGTAGAATCTACATTCGACCTTTTATTTTATTTTATTTTGGTTTGCGTTATAAACATTAGTATTCGACCTTTTATTTTATTTTGGTTTGCATTATAAACATTAGTCATATGATGATTTTGTACTTGTCGTAAAAGCTTTATGGATGTAGAAAAACACACTGCATGAATGCATTATTATTATATCCAATACATGAGATTTGCTGCAGCCAAAACAAACTCTTCTTCCACCAGTTTTAACGAATTCAACCTCAAAATCAGTCACAAAAATGGTGGATTCAGACTGTCAAAAGAAAAAAGAAAAAAGAAAAAAAGAAAAAACACAAGTGAACGTAAAACCCTTGTCAATTCTCATCGTCCCTTTCAGGATCATCTCCGACGACCGTACCAGTTGTTTCTGGGTGAACTTTTGATGCCACCGACGGCTCATCGTTTTTCTCAACATCAAGAACGAAAGCTTCTGCAATGGCTGCAGCTTCTGCATCTACTTCTGCAGTCTCAACATCAACATCATCAGGGGCCCTCTCATGAGCTAGCTTTTCTGCCGATTCCTCCTCGTCTGGCTCTGACTGAGTATCATCTTTCGTATATTTCACCGCCGGCGGCTCATCCTTTTTCTCAATATCAAGAACGAAAGCTTCTGCGATGGCTGTAGCTTCTGCAGTCTCAACATCAACATCAACATCATCAGGTGCCCTCTCATGAGCTAGCTTTTCTACCAATTCCTCCTCATCTGGTTCTGGCTGAGTATCATCTTTCATATATTTCACCGCCGGCGGCTCATCCTTTTTCTCAATATCAAGAACGAAAGCTTCTGCGATGGTTGTAGCTTCTGCAGTCTCA